TGAGCAATCGTAGAGAATGCTGACGCGTTGGCGCGAAATGGCCGGCTCAAACCCAATCTCTGAGATCCAAAATGCGCAAGAGCCGGTGTCTATGTGTCCTGGAAGAGAATCTGGCGTTCTGGTGACGCAGAGATGGTCGATCTCGCGGGTTGTATGTCGTCGTCAATCGCGTCCGCGATGAATTGGCCGCGCTAGGTCAAAAAATTGTATGCAGGTATCCAGTTTTGTTCGACGTCACAAACCAGCCGGGGGCTGTCAGCCGAAGAATAGCCGACACAATCCGAAGCAGAGCAGGTCCCTTCCTGCAGCGCTGCATCGTCGAACCGTGCCTGCCGTCCACACCGTTGGGATCGATTTTTCGAGGTGCGGGCCTCTGCACAGTGCCAACTGCCCCTCGAGGACGATTCATGTTCTGGGGCATCACTAATTAAGGCACTTGACAGTGCATGGATTGGGAGCACCTGAGGCGGTTTCGCTTCCACTGGGCGGGATGCGGAAGCGAAAGTGTCGACTTCTAGAATCGGCATTATTGGACCTATCGCTTTCCATCTAATTACAACCCGGCAGCATGCAACCCGCACGGGTTGGTAGGAGCAGGTACTAGCAGAACCAGAACCCTTGTGGGCGGAGATGAGGCTCGATCTTTGGTCAGTGGTCGCGCCTGCTGGTCTGGTTCCCGTTCCTGTTCCTGTTCCTGAACCGAGCGCAGCCCTGCAGATGGCGCGCGATTGAGGGCCCGGACTACTGAGGGTGATGGATGCGAAGAGAAAAAGATGATGAGTGACAGGACTTGACAGCTGACAGGCAGCTTGTGGCCTCACGAGTTGCGTGCAAGTGTCGCATTGTCTTGATCCTCTTGGAGCAAGACACGCCACGGATTCCCGCGGTATCGCAACGGGCGATTTGACGTGTCTTTCTCGTCCAAAGTGTTGCTGATCTCTGCAGGCTAAGAGTGACGACGGCAGATGAACACGGGCAGTTTGATAGATATCGGCAGACGACAAACGGGGCTCGGCACGAATGGGGAAACAGACTTTTTGATACTCCATCAGCCATGCAGATTCACTCCTCGGCTTCGGTGAGATATCCCGGAACGCCAGGACTTGAACGTCCATCCCACGCAACGCAACGAACCACTACAGTCAATAACTTATCGCACAGCCCGATTAGTGGAGAAGGCGAGAGACAGATTTAGCTCGGATAACCTGCTACTGATGTAGCTTTCGTCAGGTCGAGAGGGGGAAAAGGTGGGAAGGGCGAGCAACACCGTATGTCTTGGATGGCGAGAGTACGGAGTACCGAGGTGAGTCTGGCATCTGGACAGTGCTTCCACAACAACGCCAGGCAATTTGGTGTGCCATTCCTTTGCATCTGGCCGTGGCCTCGTCTGCCCAGCGTGGCCAGATCCCAGGCCCCCCAGATGTTGGGAGATGCATGACATTGGCGTGGATGTCCTCAGTTTGTGAACCGTATCGGCGTGTTTTCTGACGATTCTAAGCTTACCTTGGCCTAGGATTTAGCTTAGCCTGCTACGGAAAAAGGTGGTGGTGGCATGTTCATGCCGTGTGCTGCTGTTGGTGCTCGGTACAGGAGCACAGGAGCAGACAGACTCAGTCTCGATCCAACGGTTACAACCGAAGTCGACAGTGCGTTTCTGAGTTTCCAGCCAGTCTGCTTGTTTCCCGTCCGGCCAGCCGCCTCAGCCGTCTGGGCTTCTCGTCGCCAAATGTCTGAAAATAGGGGCATGTTCCCAGGAGACATTGGCCAGGGGAACCCCTCTCCTGGTTTCTCCCCGGCCCCGCTAGCAGATAGCACTGGCGAACCCTCTGCCGCAGAGTGCTCCGTCCTTCCGGTGCTGCACAGCCAGGCAGGCGGTCCGGCAGCGAGATGCACATGCAGGGTAGCTAACAGTACGGATAGCTTGCGGCGGGACAGTGGTACGTCGAAAGCTCGCTCGGGTCTGGGCCGTCCGTCTGACTGTGTGAGTTGCTGGGCTGCTGCAGCATCCCTCGGGTCGTCAGTGATCCTTCCCGGGTCGCGGGTCTCAGCCCGTGCTGTGCGTTGTTTTGCAGTCTTTGCTTTGCTTTGCCTCGCCTTGCTTCTGAGGGGAGGAGGAGTGGGTGACGTGTGCTGTGCTACGCTAGGCGCGTCTTTACGGGGCCCATTAGGCAAGATAAAGTGTCGTCTGTATGCGATCGGAGTCGACTCGTTTCTTTTTGTTTGGTGGGCTGGGCTGAATGTTCTGTTCAGTGTTGGCAGCAAGCCAGGCCTGTTCAAATAAAAGATAAGGAAGTCCCACCAGTGCCTGCCAACACTGTACTGCCAATCTCGCAGCAAGCACCGTGTGCAAATTGGGGTGGTCCCCTGAATGAATGAGCGACCCTGACCCGTCTCGCGACTGGGGCTCCACGCTCCGCTCACCTGCCCGCTCCTCGTGTCGGCTGGGCGGGCGGGCTGGCAGCTGCTCGTTCTCAGAGCTGGCAGCAGCTGCTCGCTCGCCAGTGGCTAGTGGTGGCCACAGTGCTGGCGGTGGCCCAGTGGCTCGCTAGTCGATGCTGCTGCCCCAGCTTGTCCACTCGGAACCAATCTCGTCGTGTCTTGCTTCGCCTTGCCGGGGTCGGAGTGGGTCGAAGCTGGGAAGTGCTCGCTGGTTGCCCTTGCAGTGTGTCCAGTGTGTGTCCTGTGTGCCTCCACGTCCGCGAGGACACTTGCTGGAGTCCGTGTCGGGGTCCAGTAGTCTCCTCCTCTCCTGTCCCAATCGTCCCCATCAGGCCTGAGGTCCCATCCGCTGCTATGAATATCTAATTCTCCTTCATCCCATTGCCAAGTAGCCAATTACGACGACACCGTCCCCAACATTTACAGCTCAACGCTCCCTTCCACCGTCTACAGTCTCGACGACTGCTTCTTCGTCTCTCGCTCCCATCGATTCCCCCGCATCATCACCACTATCGAGAATACCGCGCCTTATCCGTCGCGAATTGCTCGCCGAACCCCGTGACATCATCAAGGGGGCTTCTAGAGCAAATTGGATCCCATCCATCACACACCATCGCCGACCCAGCTTCCAGCATCATCTGGACCAAGAACGACGATCCCGAACTACCCGCTTCCATCTCCTTCGCCCTTTCTATTCGAATATAACCCGATCGTCTCTCCCGACACCCCTTCAACACCGCCAAACTGTCTTCCCCAATTCTCATTTCTCGCACCGTCTCGTACGACGCGGCCACCAATCCTCCGCGACGTGGCAGCGGATCGTACAGAACAATGGCGGATACCGGTGCCCGCAGAAGAAGATCTAGCAGCATTCTTCAAGTCCACTACGAGCCGCCCGAGACTCTCGAGCAAATAAGTGACCAGGCCGTCGTGCCCAATTTGAATGCGAACTGGGTCAATGCCAAAGGTGAGAGAACCCCGCGCAGCGCTCCGCAGGAAGCTTTTTCCCCCTTTCGTGCTTGTCGCGTGCCTCCCCTCCCCATTGAGACACAAAAAAAACTGACAACACCACCACAATCAGGTGCCTGGACCATCCACTTCGTCCTCATTCTCTGCCTAAAGATCTTCTACGACATCATGCCTGGCGTGTCCCAGGAGACGTCATGGACCCTGACCAACATCTCCTACATGTTCGGATCGTACATCATGTTCCACTACGTCCGTGGCGTGCCATTCGAGTTCAATGGCGGAGCCTTTGACAACCTCAACATGTGGGAGCAGATTGACGACGGCGCTCAGTACACCCCCGCAAAGAAGTTCCTTCTTAGCGTGCCTATCATGCTGTTCCTCCTCAGCACGCACTACACCCATTACGACTTGGCCTACTTCATCATCAATTTCCTGGCCGTCCTTGGAGTCGTCATCCCCAAGCTGCCTTTCGTACGTATCCTCTCACTGTTTCCGCAAGGATGCCCTAAGCTGACATCAGACACAGAGCCACCGGATGAGATTCGGTCTCTTTTCTGGTGAATCCGACGATTGAGCTGCATGGCAACATGGCGTTTAGGGGCTGGATTGTGTATTTGTCGCGCGAATCAAAAAAAGATTGGAGTCGAGAGATGGCATACATAGCGAAGCATGGTCGGAGAACGAAACGGAGAACACACACGGATGAGTGTCGAGGAACAGCGCGGAAGCACGGGAGCTTTGAGAGCACTGGACACGGAGTATTTCGACTTCGTCGAGAGACGGGTCGAGGTGCCAGAATCACCACTTTTATTGTTTCGAGTCAGAACTACCAGACGGCTTGCAGAGATCATCCACTCTGTGTGTTGCAGAAATGACGACACGACATACGGCGTCCTGGTCTGCAATCATGATCTTTCGCAATCCGAAAAGCGAGGGGTGGCCGACTCAGCAAAGAACCGAACATAGAGGCTCCACCAAATGTACCCAAGCGTTTTCATCAATACTAAGGCACAGATTCAGGATTGTCCGCCATCGGTGAAGACAGGCTCATCGAGACCCATGTGAAGAATTCAACAAGTCGCAATATTGCCTCCAATGCCCAAGGAGCATCGCCGATCAATGGAGTGATGAAAAAACTTCTGGCAGCGTCGCCGAGATTTTACTCCAGCCACGACCGCCAAAGAGGTTCTTAATGCCATGAGAAAAGTTTTACCTGCAGCCATAAACTTCGAAAAGCCGCCTCTCCGACGGACATGGTTAGGATATCAGGAGCTCATTGCATAAACTTCAATACGCCAACCCGACTCGGCGCGTCTCAACCCATCTCAACTCGAGTTGGCTGCAATGGCTTGGACGTTCTCAACAAGTTGAGCGACTGGCCATCAAGGCCAGCACACCATCAAGCCGACGATCTGCCCTGAGAGCCCCCGTATAAGATGGTTGAAGGAGATCCAAGGGTTTTCTCTTCTCTCTTCTCTCCTCATCCATCAGTCGTTCGCTCACATTACGGGAAGGCGGGAACCCTTTCACTCAGTCAATCGTTACCAACTTACAATCGTTTTCTTCTAGTTCCTTAGCCCTCCTTCTCGAAAATGAAGGTGACGGTTGCTGCTGCTGTGGCAGTCCTCTCCGGGCTTGCCGGGGCCCAGATGCCTGTTCCGAACCCCGGCCCGGCTCCATGGCGCCCGCCCACGCATGACTTCCCCGCTCCCCCGGCTCCCTGGAGCCCGCCCAAGCACGACTTCCCCGCTCCTCCGGTCGACACACCCCCGGTTGTCGTCCTTCCTCCGAAGCCGGTCACGACCACCAAGACCGACATCATCGTCAACCCCATCACCAAGACCAGGACTGAGGTCATCACGAGGGGCCACTTTACCATCACCCGCAAGGTGACAGAGCCCTGCACCACTTCCACCACCCGCCGCCGGACCACCACCCCGTGCACCACGTCTAAGCCGAAGACGACTCCTTGCACTACGTCGAAGAAGCCCACTACGACGCCCTGCACCACATCGAAGAAGCCTACTACGACGCCCTGCACCACATCGAAGAAGCCTACTACGACGCCCTGCACCACATCGAAGAAGCCTACTACGACGCCCTGCACCACATCGAAGAAGCCTACTACGACGCCCTGCACCACATCGAAGAAGCCCACGACGACGCCCTGCACCACTTCCAAGAAGCCCACGACAACGCCCTGCACCACGTTAAAGCCTAAGACTACTCCGTGCACTACCCTCAAGCGCTCCACAACGCCCTGCACCACGTCGAGGCCCAAGACTACTCCATGCACCACTTCCAAGCCAAAGACAACTCCTTGCACTACGTCCAAGCCTAAGACTACCACTCCTTGCACTACGTCTAAGCCCAAGACTACCACTCCATGCACTACTTCCAAGCTGAAGACGACTCCCTGCACCACGTCTAAGCACAAGACCACTACTCCTTACACTACATCTAAGCCCAAGACTACCCCGTGTACCACTTCCAAGCATAAGACGACGACTCCCTGCACCACCTCCAAGCACAAGACTACGTCGATGAAGCCCAAGACCAACCCTTGCCCCTCTTCGTCCGAGAAGGTTATCCACTACACGAAGATCACCTCGACCATCCCCGCGAACGGCACCAAGCCCTGCACCACGGTGACCTACTACAGCAACATCTCACCACCGCCCGTCACCACGTCCGCCAAGAAGCACCACTCCACCACTCCGGTCGTCGTCCTGCCGCCCCCGGTTGTCATCGTCTCTTCGCAGCAGGGCACTCCCGCTCCCCCGGCGCCGACCACCAGCCCCAGCAAGCAGAAGTACACCAACACTACGGCCCCGGTCAGCCCGCCTACCGCCCCGGCTCAACCTCCCGCGCAACCCCCGGCTCAACCTCCCTCGCAGCCGCCCGCTCAGCCTCCCGCTCAACCCCCGGCTCAACCTCCCTCGCAGCCGCCCGCTCAACCTCCTTCTCAGCCTCCCGCTCAACCTCCTTCTCAGCCTCCCGCTCAACCTCCTTCTCAGCCTCCCGCTCAGCCGCCTGCCCAACCGCCTGCCCAGCCTCCCTCGCAGTCGCAGCCTCCCACGCAGCCTTCTCATCCGCCCGCGCAGCCTCCTGCTCAACCCCCGGCTCAGCCGCCTGCTCAACCTCCTGCTCAACCTCCTGCTCAGCCTCCTGCTCAACCTCCTGCTCAACCTCCCGCCCAGCCCCCGGCCCAGCCCCCGGCCCAGCCCAGCAAGGTCGCCACCGCAGGCAGCTCCAGCCTCCAGGCTCCTTTCACCCTGGCTGCCATTATCGCCATGGCCTTCGCCTTCTTCTAAGCGCTATCATAACTTTTGGAAGCAGTGAATCCCCGTTGGCGATGGGAGGAAGGGAAGGAATGTTTCAGTGGTCTTGAAAAAGGCCGCTAGATCTTCTTCAGCTTCTTGCTGCTGGCATTGGGATCTTAAAAGGGGTATTGGACACCTGTACGCATCCGGTTGATAATATAATACAAAAGAAAAGGAGAATGTGTTTTGCGGTGGAATCTAATTTGGGAAGGAGAAAGGGAATAGGATAGAGTATGTAATGGAACGAGGAACTAGGTAGATTCGCGGTAATACACTTTGAATTTTCAGCAAACCTTATGGATCACTTGACTTGTGTCTTTATCATACGACAAGCCAATGAAGAGACAGAACTGATGTCGCAGCAGTAAACAGTTTTGTCAGCAAAGTGGTGTATAAGTCCAAGCCGTAGATTTTTGCCCGTTTCGAGTAACACAACTTCGCAATTGCCCCTCCTTCCCGAAACGGCAAGTCTAACAGTTTCGTCCCTCCAAAAACCTGGCTGCCCGCGCAGAGACCAAGCAGCGGAACATCCGTCTCATCTTCGGTGTTCCGAACCTTGATACATGTACCCGTGCTGTCGAATGCATGCGACGTAGGTGCAAGTAGCGTGCCCATTCATGTATGTGCGCGAGTGTGTGTGACGCAGAATCGGGTCCCGTCTGCAAGATAAGCTCCCGCGCGCAAGGCGCTGTCAGAACCACGCGGGAGCAGACGAAGCTTTTCTGGCCTGCAGTCCCGTTGATTATCAGACCGGATCTCACGGTCTTTTGCGTGGTCTCGAGAAGACGGCGGGATAGGAGGTCATGAAGAACTCCCGAAAACGCCGTTCCATCCATACACGCGCGCCCTATCTGCAGGCAGAGGCAGCAGCATCTAATCCCCGAGCCGATCGTCGGCCGAGGCAGGGCAGATCTGGTTCGTCAATTGGTACCGGGCAAATCAGCTAGTCTGCAGTTTAGATTCGTTCTCTGCGCATCCCGTCCTGCGCTCGGGAAGCGACCACGGCAAAGGTCTGGATTGGTTGTGGGAAGCAGAGGTGAGAAGTTTTGGCGGGGTGATTGCGCAACTGGGAAAGCAGGCGGGGGAGGGGGAGGGGCAATGAGCGGCGTCGCGTGCCAGCCCGCCGAACCGGCACCTCGCGCCGAGCGGGGAGGTGGGCGGGTTGAGGTGAGGGACAATGGATACCCATGTCGACGGCGTTTCTGACGTTGAAGGTGATGTGTGTGGTTTTAGTCAGGTGGTGAGGAATCACATATAAATCAGCATCATCTTGGCTACCGTTGGCATTTCTTCGTCATCTCTCAACTTCGCTAACGTCCATCCATCTGTCCGTCTGTCTGTGGCTGTTGCTTTACTCGGGTAATCACATACCGGGTAATCACATACCCGGCACATCGAGTGAGTTGTCTACGCGCCGGGTCAAGATACTCACTCTCGTTTTGGGATGACCACTCACACTTACGTAGCCTCAATCTCTTTGTCCAAAGAAGAAACGGTATTGTCCGCGAGCACGCATCAAGATGAAGTCCTCCGTCTCGGTCCTGTACCCCAACGAGCAGGTCTCGCGCAACGTGACGGCGTACTCGGAGAGCAGCTCGACGCCGCTACCGGCGCACATTGTTGCGTACCATGACCACATCGACACCACGCAGCCCGAGACGTCGATGCTCATGATCAGCAACTTTCAGGCGCAGAACCACATCTGGCTCGCCAAGTTGATTGGGGCTAAGCGAGGTGAGTTTTGTCAACTTTGCTCGGGACAGGGAAGTGAGAGTAGTGAGATGCTCCTTGTGAACGTGTCTTGTTGGTCTGGTTTGTTGGTTTCCGTCGTTCATGTTGCTTGATTTCGTCACGGGGGAGGTTGCTTGGATGACGAAATCGCTTCGTTTTCTCATTCTCATACAATTCTCGCCAGAGAAGGATGCTCTTCTTAGACTTTAATGAATAAAGAACACCAACTAACAAGTCTCAGTCCTGGAAATCGGCGTGTACGTGGGCTACTCCGGCATGGTCTGGTCCCACGCCGTCGGCCCCAACGGCACAGTAACGGGCCTCGAGTTCGACGCAAACTACGCAAAGAAAGCCCAGGAAGCCTGGGCCGCCAACGGTATCAAGAACGCATCCGTCATCGTCGGCGACGCCCTCCAGACGTACGTCCATCCTTTCCATTTCTTTCCTTTCTCTCCCACTCTTCCCTGTTACTAAACGCAACGTCGACTTTAGCCTGCCGACCCTCCAGCCCGACGAGCCCTACGACCTAATCTTCATCGACGCCCAAAAGTCAGGCTACCCCTCGTACCTCTACACGATCCTCTCCGCCTCGCCCGCCTCCGGGGGCAAGCGCCTGCTGCGCGCGGGCGGCCTGATCGTCGCGGACAACGTGCTGCGCCGCGGCATCGTCGCGGACGACTCGGACGGCAACCCGTGGGTGCAGCGCGAGAAGGGGGAGCGGGCGGCGTACTGGAAGAGCGAGGACGTGGAGAAGCTGCGCGAGTTCAACCGCATGGTGCGAGAGGACGAGAGGCTGGACAGTTGGTTGATGCCGCTTTACGACGGGGTCCACCTTGCGCGGTTGGTGGACTAGATCAAGGGGATAATCATGATAGAAATGAGGCTCGGGTTAGAGTAGAACATGACGTTTCTAGACTTTGGAAACGTGTTGCCCTGGGAGTAGCGACTAATGCAAGATGGTTCGTCGCTTGTGATGGTGACGATTCATGTCAACCTTGAGACTCTCGTGACTTGGATGCTGGATGGAACGAGACGAAGTAAATCAGAGTACCCCCTTGCCAAAGGCATTCAAGAGGCCGTGTTTCTCAGTCATCCGTAACAATGGCTTGTTCAGCCTCGTTGATCCGATTATTGAAGCCCAATACAGTCCTTGTATGTACATGGCCATTGTTCAATTCGTCCTGTTCCTGAACAATGCACAAGTTCATGGCACGGCCCGAGCTGTTACACCCTCGTGGTCTCGATTGAAGTGTCTCGAGATATTCTCGAGGCATTACACTCTCAATCGCATGTTGACTGGATGAAGAGGCACATCACATTTCACAGTGAACATCTCAACCTCCCCCATCATACACAGGACTCATTCATACATCCATCTCTGTCGTTCCCTTTGACGGCAAAACTTCTTCTCAAACAATGACGATGTCACCCACGGTTCAACACAGAGCCATTGTGATCCCACACAAAGCGCCCAACACAATGAAACGCAGTCTTCACCAACAACTCTCCATCTCATCATCCTCTATAGAAGAAGCCCAAAGATGAGACCACAACATCACCGCCCTCTGAGTAGACGCCAACTAACACCCCAGCACCAAGAAACCACCAAGAAACCACCACACAAACCCCTCGGCCGGCCCAGATGCAATGTGCACCGCCGAAAACATCTACTACACAGCCTGCAGCTGCTTCTCCGGCCACCACATCACCTGGCTCTGCCCCCGCTCCACAACCACCCCCGGCGCCGGCACCGTCTGCCCGGCCATCGACGCCCAGGGCGTCCTCCGCCGGCCGGGGAAGTGCCTCCCGTGCCGCCGGCGCGACTGGCAGCAGCAGGTACTCGAGCGTCTCCTCCCCGTCCGTGACGCTCTTCCCCCGAGCGGCGGTGACCTTGTCAGCGATAGGCTTACCCTTCTTAGCGCGATGATTCGACGGGCCGTGGAGAATTCGAATTCGAACGGGAATGGGGTTGGGAAGATGGAGGATGAGACAGGTAAGGAGGGGCAGCAAGGTAAGCGTGAACCCGACGTTGTTGCCGAGGAGTCAACGGGGGATGAGGTCCAGCAGGAGGTCATCGAGACGCATAGCACGGCGTGGCATCAGGAGTGAGGACCGGCTCGGCCGTGACACCGGGGCTCGCATACGGGATGTCGTCCCGGTCAGTGGATCATTGTCGGTGCGGTGCCGGCGATTTACAGGTAAGAATCCCCCGACAGCAAGTCAAGATCTTGGCCAGAACCGCTGGACTTCCCCCCCGCCTCGACCTCCCTCAAACGTTGGACGCGCAGACGAGGGATACTTCCCGCGGAGAGTGAGCTATGACAATGATACCCATAGAAAAAGCACGCAGCCGAAGCGCATGCACAGGAACAAACGCAGAACATCTAGAACAAACATTCGTACCACGCAGAAGGCAGTGATCCTCCTAGGCCTCCCCCTCTAAGTCTAGTAAAAGCTGCAGGAAGCCAGCCCGCAGGCTCGCTCGTTTTCACCGGCGCGGTTCCACCGCCGCCACGTACACACACGACAACGGAACCAAGGATGCTCTCGTTTCAGGGCAGCTGGATGCTGGCGAGCCAAAATCGACGACGTGCCGTGCACCGCGCTCTCGCTGCGGCTGCGAGGTTAGCGTGATGCATACGCTGTGACATGGCGAGTTTGTTTTCTCATGTGTATTGGCTTTTGGTAAATCGTAAAGTTGGTCGTGCATTTCGAATGCAGCCGCTGCTCTTCCAGACGGCAGAGAAACGGATTAGAACAAGGCGGACCGCCGCCCTGCCATTGCATGTCGCGTAAACCTAGCATATGCAAGGTAAATCATCGCCTTCGCTTCGCAAATCTTTGTCACACCGAGTGATGGTGTTTGATGCAAGAATCCAGAAAGGAACGCTTGTTTGCTCGTGGCTGACTTGGCCGCCGCCCACAAAGATCGGGCCAACGACGCAGTCTGCTCTTGGCGCTTGTCGAATGTGTAAATTGGAGGGCCCAACTGTCAGCGGCGCACGCACCAGCCGGAGGTTCGAGACAAGAGACAGATCCGGAGGATAGGGATAGATCGGGCAAAGGGCGAAGACGGGTTGGGAGCCTCAAACAAACTTGCCCGAGGCCTCACCGTTGTCAAGTGAGGAGCGCCAATGCAAAGTGCGGGTTAATCGTGCATGTCTGAGGGCATGGTCGCGCACGGCTGGGGGCCGGAACATAATCGGACACCCATATTCTCTTCAAAAAGGTTACATTAGCCAAGGTAGCGGTTTGTGTCA